TATAGCACCGACTGAGACATAACCAAGTCTCAGTCTAAGACTTAGCAAGATTGTTGTGTGAAACGTGTGAAATCAGATTAAATGAAATGTGTGAATCTAGATTGTTCATTTGACAGTTGACAGAGGCAAAAGTCAGGCTACCAAAGTCCAGCTGATCTAAGCCGGAAATTTCACTATGGTAACATCCTTTGGTTTGAGTTTCATAGGAAGAAAACAAGGAGACATTACAATCCACTCAATTTATGTACACCTTTGCATATGTTTTAACTTTGAACTGTGATAACGTTCGATCATTCGGAAATTAGGAACATAACCAGACGAGTATGCCTTCACCTTATTCTACTTTCTCATAAATATGCGTGACATTCCTTCCTTATTAGAGTAACTAATTACATGCATGTAGGAAAAGACAGATTTCATGATGTCATCAAACATTCTTTCCTATTTGAATATTCAAAATATTTTGTAGCTCAAACCATTGGTTCGATTCAAAACCCGTTTTGACATATCTTCAAAACTAGATATCATGTTGATATGTTTCGATGACTTTTTTTGGTTCAAAAGTTACCACTCTGATCATGGTGTTCACTAAAGTTACCGACATATGTTTCAACAACTTTTTTCATCCGTCAAAGTTATCATGGTATTTATATGTAACTTATCAGGTTCGTTGTTCATGCATATCATAATTTACCCATAAGTTATCAGGTATGTTTTTCAACAATTCCGCCCCCTCCCCGCCCCCAGTCAAAGTTCCCTTTTTGAAGGCAGTACGGACATAGACGCTCATACATACGCATAATCAATGCTGAGGAAATCGTTAACTGGTAGCTGCTCGCTCAGCTTGGGAATGGAGATTAATCGGTAAATCGGCCTGTTAACTGGATTAATCGGTCGACTGTTAATCGATGGAATTTTAAACTCAATAGGCACAATTTTTGTATAGAGACAATATGAAAATGCCAAACGGAGACCGAGCTCCATGGAGGCCTTTATTTGAAAACTTCAAAATTCAAACTTTTCAGTTTTAGAAAATTCTGAAAATAAATACACATATACCTAGATATATAATGTACACGTGTGCAAAATTTTAGTTCGAAATACAATAAAATGTGAGCTACACAAAAAAGACAAATCTGAGGCTTTTTAGCATATGTACTGTTCATCTTTAAAGTCTATGATTTTTTTTGTGAAGCTTGCAATTCAAGGTATTTCATCCTAAAAAATTTCACACATACACTTTACATCCTTGCATACATGTCTAATTTTTCAGAATTTTTTAAACCGAAATTTGTGAATTTTGAATTTTTTAAAATAAATGGCTCCATGGAGCTCGGTCTCCAAAATGCCCTACTCCTTGAATGCTATAAAAATTCTACATTGCACATATGAAGCAAATGGCACTTTTTTATTTTCTCAATAGATCATGCACATGTATATGACAACAATCATCAACAAACATGTATACATCAACATTTTTTTGCTAATTTACGCCTGGACCACAACTCCGAGAGACGGCGGCCGCGCGACGGCGACACGTAGAGGGTGGTGGCAGGTCGCAAAGGAGGAGGCGAAGTAGCAGCGCATAGAGGGAGCACATGAAGCGGCAACACATAGGGGAGGAAGGGAAGGGACGAAGCGCCAACGTGAACCTGGCCATGCGATCTAGGTCGGGAGGGGATGAGAGGAGCGGGAGGGGGCGGGAAGAGGGCCAAACCCTAACTATTTAGGAGCATGAGCGGGCTGGGAGGGGTTATGGGCCAAATAATCGACCTTTCTTTGCCCACCAGTTAATGGGCCAGCAGTGATTACTCGGCCAAGGATGTGATGCATGAATTACCATGCTCTTTACAAAGAAGTTATCGGGAGTTTTGTTTTCAGCATCTTTTTCCCGGGGCAAAAACGATTGCGGTGTTTGTGCGTGGGTTATCAGCAAAGTTCTGAGGGGCTATATTACCATGCTAGTTACCAGGGTTATGTTTTTCAACAACTTTTTCCCTGGTCAAACTTACCACGGTGTTTACGTGTAAGTTATCAAGTCTGCGCTTCGTACTTACCATGCTATTTATACATAAGTTACCGGGGTATATTTTTCATCAACTATTTTTTCCCGAGCAAGTTAGCGCAGTGTTCGTACGTAAGTTATCAAGTACGTGGTTCATATATTACCGTGTTATTTTATACTTAAGTTACTGGATTATGTTTTTTTACAACTTGTTCTTTCCTGGTCAGTGCTGCATCGGTGTTTGTACGTAATTTATCAAGTCCGTGGTTCGTATATTACCATGGTATTTCAAAAGTTAACGAAACATATTTCAACATTTTTCTCCGAGTCAAAGTTACCACAATATTTGTGCCTAATTTATCAATTCTGTGATGTGTAAAATTATCATGTTGTTTGTACAGAAGTTACTCATTCAAAACCGTAAATTATCAGGTCTTTGGCTGCATCTCATGTAAAGGCTTCATTGGTCCCACCACCAAAATCGCCTACACCACTCTTAGGGGTGTTCGTGAAGATGCCTACTTCCATCACATGAACTAGAACACCGATGAAACTCCGGGAAACCCAATGAAAAGAAAGAAAGAAAATTAGATTCTGATACAGTAGAAAAACCAGCTTAAATAGATTGATTTGGTTATCGGGGTTGGTTGATCCTATACAACGAGGTGATGTGTTTGAATTCCCATGTTACACCTCTTTTCTCTCCTCTAAACGAATAATCTTTTTTGACCTGTATGCTGA